CCTCACACTAACGAAAAAATCTTTTGACTTTTAGTGACTTCCTGTTCCAGTTCATCTTTTACCCTACTTTGTAAACATATGAAACCCTGCATACTTATCTCCTGTACACTGCATCAATTCAAAGACTATAGGTACTTCTCACATGATTGCGACTTTACTAATTTCACAAACACCTTTTATTGACATCCTTTGTATTTATTGTCACTTAGTGCACACTGCAGCCGAACTTTTTACGTTCTTTATATTAGTGTGTGGGAAAACCAACAATAACTGAGCTAGGATGTTGGTGATCATAGATGGTGTGTCAGTCCACATTGTTAAAACTACAAACACAGCCATGGTATACACGGTCCCTTGGTATGTTTACTCATATGTTCTTAGCCACAATCAATGATCTTGTTCTGTGACCCACTAGCCCCAAACACCTATTGTTTTTTTAATGTACATTTGCGAAAGACTTTCCTTTGTACTCCTCACCCTAAATCACCCTTTCCAATTGTATATACTGTAATTACATCTCTAGAGTACTAAAGGTATCATCTAGGACATATACAATTAATTTTGGAGAGATGGAGGGTATGGTACAGGTAGGGTTAGGTTCATACGTGTGTGCCCCCGTTGAGGGACCACGGTTTTAGTAACTGGTTGGACCAAACAATTTCGTCGATACTGAGTCGATGACAATGGCTTGGGATTTCTACATTGCCTATTTAAAGACCCTTTGGCTTATAGAATGTATTGAGATAGTTGATGCTTGCTATAAAACTGTATAATTAAAGAAATGCCATGCGAGCTTTTTGTCGAAATTCAAACAATATATTTTAGCAGCACAAACGATCTTTGCACATTTCGTAATTTTGTTATAATATTACTTGGAACGCTACCATACCTGAACAAACAGCTCATACAATACGTCTTCGGTGACTTTAGTATCTAAATTTCCAACCCATAACGTCCTATCGTCCTTGTTTTCACCAGAACCGGGACCCATTTTGAGGCGAGGATTGCAGGTTTTGTGTACCGGAAGTAGGAAGTGGTGTTTATGTCACTGACCGTTGATGGCGAAAGACTGACGAATTGAGCGCTGTGCTACTGGTATTGACCACAGTGGGCAGCAGGCATTATATAACATCTCTGTACATGCATTGGTTTATTTGCTTTGTCAATGTTTATTTATCTTATGAACAAATCTGGTTATCAGATTGGGATAAACAGCATGTGCTTGATTATGCAAATTAAAAAACAACAGCTTAAATTAAAAATTTTTCTGTCCCCTAAAATCAAGCTGAAACATTTGTGTCTTCTAAATTTGCCTCTCAAAATGCAGGAAATAGCGTAGGGTCTAAATTGTTAAAAGGAAGTACGCCCCGGACCCCCTATGAACGTCGCGCCTTAAGGGCGAGGGATGGTGAGCAGGTCACCCCCCCCCCCCTACAAAATTTCGTGCCACCGCCTCTGGTTTTCTTTGTAAACGGTGAGGCCAGAGCGAGAGTGTCAAAAACCGTGACATGTTGGTAGTAAAATTGCTATAAATTATGCCCCATCTTAGGCAAAATTTTGAAAAAACATTTTTTTTATACCGCTCGATTTAAAAGTTATGCCGTTAAAATGTAAGATCCCGCATTTTTCGAAGCGGACTTTTAGAAACTATGGGTCAGGCGATGAATCTGCCGTATCTTTTTTTATTGTTATTTTCACTGTGTGTTATATTTTTCCCTTTTATGCTACTGATCTTTAGGATTTTTTCAAAATTCTGCAATCTATCCCTCTTAGCAACAACAAAAACAGACCACGTTGAGCGGCACATTGAAATATTTAATTTCCCTAAGATGATTGTATTCTAAAAAAAAATACTAAACACTTGGAATTTGTCGTGCATAATTCGAGCTGCATACACTCGCTATCCCCACACGATGGTGTACGGTACACGAACTCCCTCGTTGTCCAATCAACGTTGATAGTACATCTAGATCTCTGGGTCGCAGTCATCCGTCTGATTCTCCGCATCACTGAACCAACGTCGGATGCATGATGGGAGAACTCACAATTTCCTGTTAATGGCGGGCGTATTGTTTTGGTTCACTTTCGCTCAGCTGCGTTAAATGGAGTGTTTATGTATTCAGTGTCGCATTGTACCATTCAAGTAGTCAACATAAATTCAGAAAGATAAATACGAAGTCTTTACGCCATTGGAACTGCTGGTTTAACAGGTAAGTTGTTAAGAGGCAAGTAGATGGGGAATCTACCCCGTTTCCGACGCCGCCGACCGTATACCGACTCGTCACCGTGGCAGGGTAATTTACACCCGGTGGCTCGTATGGTTGATGGGTCACACCTGCATCCGAATATTATTTTGTTATATATGCCTATGTTAACACAGATATAACACAGTTATACCTCACTTGAATTAACATAAAACATGTTGCTTATGAAAATAATTTACTCACGGTGTTTATGGATGCCCAGTTTAAAAAAAATAGGGTTGAGAATGGAGGGTTTTGTGGGGGGGGGGGATGTGATTACAGGTATTGTGGCATACATGATATATGTGAATACGCAAATTGATCCACCCCCATCATTTTCAAATGGTAATCCCTTACTTGCACAAGGAAATACTGTGGAGTACATACGTTATTTTTGCTGGAATTAATTTTCGCTGAAAAGGCTTTTTGGGCGTTTTGCTTGGAATTTATTTTCACTGATTTTTCATGAGTTTAATGTGAAATATAGGAAAAAAAGTATATTCACTAGATTTTATTTTCACGGAATCATCCCTTCAGCGAAAATAGCGAAAATAAATTCCAAGCGAAAATAAATTCCAAGCGAAAATAAAGTATTCTACAGTAATAAAACTCAGTAATAAAGCATTCTATGAAATGTGCAAACCTTTTATAGAAACTACTTCCAACCACTTTGTGAGAGAATTGGACAAAATAATTCACACATATAACAGTGCAATTTTTGTGGTGCTATGATAAGAGCATTCATTAAAATTCATACAGGGGTACCTTACAAAATGTAAGCATGAGTAACGATAAATGCAATGACCAATGTTTCTGATGAAATTCAATTCATTTAAATTATACAAAACATGCAAAATATCACGTTTTCCAGTCTGTATGGTTCTGTATGTAATCAAATACGCTTGTAATGGACCAAATACAAATGTAAGCAAATACACTTGTAAGAGACCAAATACAAATGTAAACAAATGCACTTATAGTAAGACCAAAATACAAAAGTAAACAAATACGCTTGTAATAGACGAAATACAAATGTAAGCAAATACACTTGTAATAGACCAAATACAAATGTAAACAAATGCACTTATAACAGACCAAATACAAAAGTAAACAAATACGCTTGTAATAGACGAAATACAAATGTAAGCAAATACACTTGTAATAGACCAAATACAGATGTAGGCAAATGCACTTGTAATGGACCAAATACTAATGTAAGCAAATACACTTGTAATATACCAAATACAAATGTAAACAGATACACTTGTAATAGACCAAATACAGATGTAAACAAATACACTTGTAA